GGTCGCTTTCGCTCTTGTCTCATCTAATCTCACAGCTACAGTGCCAATGTGGCGTCAGCTTTCCACCCAAAGGTAAGATGGCGCTGTCTTTTGGAAAATATATCCTTTTTCTCCCTTCCCTCCTTGTACGTTTTATTACTCCGTTCAGAATTTGCTCTTCAGTTCATTCGTGTCTCAATATTAAGAACAATGATATCTTCACCTTTTTACGGCCGTAAGCAACACAGTTCCGTTCTATGGCAGAGAAGAATAGGTTTATTCAGAAAAAAACATGTGTTCAGGATCACGTATTTTCGTTACACGGTTCTTAATAATCGACGCATCGTTATCTATGATGATCAAGGATAGGGAAATATTTTAAGAGGACGTTTTACCGTCATCCGAATTAATATCATATGATGGGCAAAATACGGAATTAACTATTTTTTTGACGTTGATCTCTTCCTTTCCAAAACTTAGAATGTGGTTGACACTGAGTGTAATGTCAGTTCTGTCAATTGCGGCTATTCAAAAATACAATTGATCATTTGATTAATGATGGTTTGTGTATTTCGGCGACGCCTTTATGATCACCCAGGGATATTCTTGGTAGCCAAAATGGGGAGTTATATGGAGCAATGAAGTATAGAAGAAAAGTATAACTCTAACTTTACAGCCGGTTAACCTAAAGGCCGTCGACAATGAAGGCATTCAATTAAACTTAGCAGTAGCAACTTATCTCCAAGTGTTCTGATAAAAAAATGCTAAAAACACGGGTCTGCCTTTGTTGATGTTGCGTGTGTTTCGAAATCGGGCAAACAAAAGAGATGGCCGCAGTCTTCGACAACGAGGAAGAGTTTGTACAGAGATTTTTTTTTTTTTACAATGTGATTAAGTATCGTGGCACTTTTTGTTTTTATGCCCGCATAAAATCACTTTTTATCAAATTTTTGATAGAGTACGTCATAGTCATTGACGTCGTTTTATCTAGGTTCATGGATCACGGCAGAGAGCCAATCGTGACATCTCTGGTATTTTTTATTTCAATTGCGTCAGCGGATTTATTAGCCAAAATTTACAGGCGTATTTTTCATAGTAAGTTAGGTTCAAAGGACGGACGGGAGTCATTTTGAAATTTTTCTGATACGGGTTTTGTAATTGATATAAATAAGACTGGTTTGAGAACGTGCCCTATGGTTGCTGGTTTCGTAATTACCACTGAGAGTTATAAACGCCGCCTTCATTCAGTTTACCGTGGTTTGACAATTCATTGAAGTCACAGGAAACTAATAAAAGCTAAATAATGAACGTAACAGATAGTGACGGAAATAGTTGCGTGGTCCGGGTATTGTTATTGTAAAATACACTATTCGTCATGGAGTAAGCTAGCCTTAGACAAAATCGGCGAGGGAGAGGCAGAAGCACCACGATTATCTTTTAATTTCTTATGTTTTTCGTAATCTCACTGGGTAGTCAATCGCAATTTTTGATTTGTCATGTGATTTTGAAGCGGTGTTGATATGAAAGGTTTAATATAATCAGGACTACAGGTCCACTTGTTTTCCTTTTTCGGTTGAAGTGTCTCATACAAGATAACTATATGGTGGGAGAGGTGCACCAATTTGAATTACTTTTCGAAAGGTCTTCACGCGATCCAATTGCAATGGTTATCGTTCACGAAGTAAGCAATGAAGCTTCTAAAGTTAAAAATATGTTAATTTTAGGCTTATTTTGTCAGAGACGAAATGAATAAACAAAGATTATTACATTTGACATTTTATGTTTTGAATAAATTTCTCATTTCTTATCTATGTTATCTTTTTATGATACCCGTGTGACAAAATCCGCCTTTACAACCTTTCGCTGTCATCGAATCTACTGAACTTATTTCCTCTAACTCTCTATTAGGCCTCGTTTGAGTCCTCCATCACAAATTTTTAGAATGAGAAGGCAGGCTTCGTAGCCACACGAATTACAGGGGGAAAATGCTAATCATTCCTTGTCAAATTTACAACTTGATGAAAAGAAAAGTTGTCAAAAAGCTGCCAGGGTACCGAAATAAGTACGGCAAAGCAGAAACAGAAGTATCCTAGACGTATGACGCTTTTTCGTTAAGATGACACAACTGATTTAAAAAGTAGACCTTAAATTCGAAAAATTCTGATTTGGGAATAGCCATGACATACATGATTGAAAAAAGTCTTCCGATTTCTCAATTTTAACAGCCAATTCCCATGGTACCCACGTGCCAAAAGTCAGGTGATAAAGGAAACGAAAACAAATGGAAATGTAATCACTATCACAATGGTAACGATTCCTCAAATAAAGTCTCAGTAACATTTTGGGAAGAAAATATTTCTACAAACGTAACATTTTCGGAAATACGAAGCGATTTCAAAGAAGAGTAATCATTCTCACGAAACTTTTTTGGAGAGTTTTTTAGTTGATGAGGTTGAATTTGTGTATCATGTGAAGCAGTATGACAATATGGCTAATGTGGTTCGAAATTTTAGTTTGCTTTCACTGCCAAACGAAACTAGTTCTCAGTTCTGGGGTCTTCTTAAGTATCAGTTAACCATATTCCGACTGTACGTTTCTTAAGCGAATATAAAGTGGAAAAAAGAAATAGATTTCCCGACGTAAGCACTAATTACTTTGAAAGACGCCAGATTATTATGAAAGACAACTGTCTTTAAGCCTCCAGTCTTCCGATGCTCATTTACGGACACAGGCAATAACTATTGTTCATATCAGTTTTCGACAGACTCAGGTTTTCATCGTTGACATCGGTGTTCTCGTTTTAGGTAAGACACAAGTCACGCTTTGTCGAGAATGTAGAATGTTGTATTCCTTTATTAATAAGTGCAATTTGTCGGTTATGAGATACATTCCTCCTGCAGAAAGATGAAATGGAAATTATTGATGGAACTCACTACATCTTTACGAAAAGGTGAAATGAATTTCAACGGATACTAATCTATTATAAATGATAAATATTTTTTCTGCACGTTAATTAGTCGCTTAGCTTCCTCTTATTTGATCGCAGGAGCAATTAAAATATATTTAAAAATATGCATTGCCAATCATTTTGAAAGCTTGGACCGCGTTTCTTAGGCTATGTTTATGAGGATAATACTTACCGCTTTGAAACTAAGATGTTTAACAAAGAGGTTTGTGGTTATGGTTGGTAGTAAATGACTAGGCAGTTAACCATATTAGGAAATTTTGGTTTCACAAGACTGCACCTGTTTATTGATTCAAGATGACTTTGAGGTTTTTGCCAGAGTTTTTGAGGTTAGTGAGAACGTTTTAACCGATTTAGAACCAAATGAAAGGAAATGATGACTTTAAACGCTAATTGAATTGTACATGTAGCACCAACGAAGCATCTAAAACATTGAAAAATAACTAAGGTAAGATAGATGATCTCAGTTCTTGTCGAGTGTTGTTTCTGTGCGTCCTTCCACTTTGTCGGAAAAAAGAGAAATACACCAAGAACTCATTTAATTGTTCTCAGTAAAGGGGAAAACAACACTTAATATTAAAGCCACTAACGGTGCTGAAGGCTTTTTGCTTGCGCCCAACTTAAAAAAGGTTATACCTCCAAATTAAGAGAGAGAACCTGGAGGTCTGGTAACTGGCAGTTCAATCTCGATAAGATGAAGGATATTGTCTCAACCTTGCTAAAGTTGCTCTGTTTTTCTCAAAAAGTGATCAAAGCTTCAAATTAAATTTATTGCTAATTCTTTCGTTTGAGATAGCTAATTCTGTGTTCGGTTTGTTAAGCAGTACATTAAACATAACGTCGAGGAAAATTTTCAAGGTCTTAAGAATTTGTCATGAAAAAATTGTTTCTGATATATGATTAATGATATTTTTGTTGAAATAATAAAAGTAAATGCTTACTTTTATCATTTCAACTGAAGTATTAGCCTGTGTTCAATTTTGGCTGGAATTCGCCCGTATAAGATTTATTTTTTTCTCAATTGGTTTTATTATCTTGGCATTTATATGAAAGGATAGAAATTGTACAGAAGAGGCTTGGTCGCCGGCCGGTCGGTGGTTTAATAATATCCGAAAACTTTTGCACGATAAGGGCACAACTGTACGCAATCTGTGACACTTGGATAAAGTGAATGACAGATTTCGAAACATTGCTCAATTTGACGTACAAGCTTTCCGGTTTCCGTTTTCGAATTAGCCGGCCTTGAAAGGTTTAAAGCAGGACCCAACGATTGAAAGATAGCTGACTATCCGCTCGTATCATAGTTGGGTTCTCACTAAGGTACGTTCCATTCTCTTCTTAGTTTTCGATCGGAACCGAGTTGGGGTCATAGTTAGAAAATATTGTGATGCTAGATACTTTGAGGAAAAGCTGAAAATGATGACCAATAATTTAAAATCAGACTAAAGTTTTCAACGCATAATTAGTGGTGAGATATGTCCTTTCTTTACAAAAGTATGAGTTGATTCGCAATATTTTTGTGATAAATCCACGATTTAAATGGCTTTAGATGAGCTAGTGAGGGTTGCTCCATGGAATACCAAGGGCCATCTTTGTTTTATAAAATCTCGCTAAATATCTTCCCAAATCTTTGGAACCTAACTAGCTCGATTTGAAAAAGAGGCTTCAATTACCACTTTAATCAAGAAAAATAGTTTCAAAATATTTCATATTTGATGAATTCTTTTCATTTGTAGATAATTTGCAGATAAAACAGGATGTGTCAGGTCCGTTGAAGATTTAGAGCGTGGACATCAATTTTTGGAAAGGGCTTTTTAAGCCGTGAGAGAATTTCGTGACTCTTTCATAAACCTTTCGGTGGTA